AAGGAGAAATGTCCAATAGGTTGCAGCTCAAGTTGTGATCACAGAAAAGTTAATCAAATTTAAAAAATTAATCGCCTAAATACACATATTATAAAAAGAATAAAGGCTGAAAAATCAACTCATCTTAAGAAATTAGAAAGAGAAAAGCAAGTTTGAAAGACTCAATATTGGAAAAGATCTATTCTATAGATGTAATGCAATCCTGACTGCAACAAATCCTGATCTCAACAAATCTGTGTGTATATGTGTTGCGTATATGCAATTTGACTAGGGCCATAGCAAAGATAAGGCTAGATAGGTAGGTAGGGGCCAGGGCAGATAGGGCATTGTTGATCTTATTACAGAGTTGCAAGTTTATCCTTAAAGTAGGGAGCAATGAAGGGTTGTTACACAGATGAGCTATATGATTTACATTTTAAAATATATCACACTGATAACAGTTTTAAGAAAAAATAGATTAAGCCTAAAAGGTTGTTGTAATAATCTAGAGATATAATGGTGATTTTGATAGTGGCAATAGGAAAGGATAGAAGCGGATAGATTTGAAACCTATTTAGTAGGTAGGTTTCAAGACTTGTTACTAGAGTCAATGGATAATGCCTATGTTCCTAATTTGGAAAATCGGTAGACGGTATTGAGTTTTGAATCACATAATCATACCCTTGTGATATTCTCCTGCAGTTCCAGACAGCCCAGAAACAGGAATAGAAATAATATTCAGACAGCCCAGAAACAGGAATAGAAATAATATATAGATTTGTGTAGTGGTACAGATTAGCAGAAATGATGAAAGTCAAGAAAGGGGAACATTTTGAGGTGGTAGCAAACAAAGAGTTAAAATAATGGTGTCCAGGTTAGTTTCAAGACAAATGAAACCATACTGGAATGTAATCTGAGAGAAGTGAGACATGTCAATTGGAGATTACAATAAAAACAAACAGTGAGTTCGATTAAGAGGAAGGAGAAAAGTAAACGTGCAGAAGATAAATATCAGAGAATATTTTTAAAATGGAGATTTGCAGGTAGCTTTTTTCAAGGCATATTTAAGTTTGACATATAGCTTAGTCTGAGGATGATTGTTATCTTAGGTGAAATGGAGGTCATGGAATTTCAAAAGAGGTCAAAGAATTGTGAGTCCTGGATGTTAATGGTTTTTGTCAGTGGATGTGGGAAACACCAAAAGTGATTGTAGAAGATAAGACAGAAAAATATTGAGAGTCAGATACTACAGTTAGAAAAACACAAAGCTTTTGATAGAAAATTTTTGGAAATTGAAAACTTTTGAGCTCATGGATGGCAAGAATTGTGTTTCATTCATCCTTGTCTTTTTTGTTTATCTAAAACATAGCAAGTGCTCAAAAAATATTTGCTAGTTGAACTGACTCCATTGCCTTTTATTCCTCAGAAATGTGTATTTGTCCAGGGTATGCTAGATAGCTATTTCAAATGGAGAGATAGGTGATGAAGAGGTGACCTAAGGACTGAGTGACAATAAGAGTCGACCCAAGATCAGGGGAAAGAATATTCTAGGCAGTGGAAAGATCTTGTCAGGAACAATCTTGGCATGTTTCAGAAGCAAAGATTGCTAGTGTAGTTGTAACTTATTGGTCAAAGGAGAAGAAAATGATCAATGTGGCTGAGTACAGTGGCTCACACCTGTAATCTCAGCATTTTGTGAGGCCGAGGTAGGGGGATCACTTGTGAGTTCGAGACCAGCCTGGGCAACATAGTGAGACCCAGTCTTGACAAAAAATAAAAAACTAGTTGGGCAGGGTGGCACATCCTGTAGTTCCAGCTACTAGGGAGGCTGAGGAGGGAGGATTGCTTGAGCACTGGAGGTTGAGGCTGCAGCGAGCCATGATCACATCACTTCACTCAGCTTGGGTGACAGAGTGAGACCCTGTTTCAAAAAGAGAAAAAAGAAAAAAGACGGAAGGACCATCAAATTGAATTAAATTCTGGAGGAAAAAGGATTCAGGCAAACAAACATAGAAATTACCAGAGCCCAGGTCTACTAACAGGAAAAAGTACTTTCTTTAGGTCAAAGATAAAAATTGTTTTTTATCTAATTATAACACATAGTATGTCATTTATATTAAATTGCATTCTACTGAGTTTCCTCATATTTCATAGGTCACCCATCTCATTGCCTTTGCTGCATCCTCCTCTTCTCCAAGCCTCCAATGTTGGAGGGCCCCAAGCTCACTCATTCCTTGACCATTTCTCTCTCTCTCTCTCTCTCTCTCTCTCTCTCTCTCTCTCTCTCTCTCTTTTAGAGATGGGGTCTCACTCTATGGGCCAGGCTGGAGTGCAGTGGTGTGATCATCACTCACTGTAGCCTCAAACTCCTCGGCTCCAGCAATCCTCCTTACCTCAGCCTTCTGAGTAGCTGGGACTACAGGTGCACACCAGCATACCCGGACCTACATGATCTGATCCCTAGCTTCCTTTGACTGTATATTTTACCTCTTTGCCCCTTATTCTTGTCAAACTGTCCTTCTTGCTCATCATTTCTCTATACACATTCACTTCTTGGGAAATCTCTTCCAGTTTCATGGCTTTAAGTACCATATATATGCTGATGATTCTCAAGTTTATGTTTCTAGCTCCAACCTCTTACCTGATCTTCAGACTCATATATGAAACTGATAACTTAATGTCTCTAATGGATACCCATTAGCATGGGTAGAAGCTCAACATATCCAAAACAAAACTCATACCAGAAAACTTTTCTTATCCTAGTCTTTGCTATTTTTAGAAAATTGCATCATGATTCATCCTTACTACTTAGGACCAAATCTAGGAGTGAGTTTTCCTTTTCCTTTCCTTTCCTTTCTCTTTCTCTTTTTCTTTCTTTCTTTCTTTCCTTCCTTCCTTCCTTCCTTCTTTCTTTCTTTTTTTCTTTCTTTTTTCACTCCCTCCCTCCCTCCCTCCCTCCCTCCCTCCCTCCCTCCCTTCCTCCCTTCCTTCCTTCCTTCCTTCCTTCCTTCCTTGCTTCCTTCCTTCCTTCCTCTCTGTCTCTCTCTCTCCCTCCTTCTTTCTTTTTGAGACAGGGTCCTATTGTCCAGGCTGGAGTACAGTGGTGTCATCATAGCTCATTGCAGCTTCAAGCACCTGGGCTCAAGGGATTGTTCTGCCTCAGCCTCCTGAGAAGCTGGGGTTACAGGTGCACACCACCACACCTGGCTAATTTTTTTTATTTTTATTTCTTGTAGAGAGGGAGTCTGATTATATTGCCTAGAATGGTCTTGAACTCCCGACTTCAAAGAATCTTCCTGCCTCATCCTTGCAAAGAACTGAGATTGCAGGTGTGAGGCACCACACCTGGCTCTTTTCTTTCTTTTAAATTGTGTATCCAAGCTACACTCTAATATTGTCAGTTCTAGCTTAAAGTTTAATTCCAAGTCAAACTGTTTCTCTCCACTTGCACTACTATCACCTTGTACCAGTCACGACCACCTATTGCCTGAACTATTGCAAAAGCCTCCTAACTGAACTCCTACTTCTTTTCCTTCCTGCCTATAGATAATTTCCCCCTCAGCAGCCAAAGTGATCTTAAATGATCACATTATGTCACTCTCATGTTCTAAGCTTCCAATGGTTTCACATGTCACTTAGAATAACATCGAAATGTCTTACAATGGTGAGTCATATATGTCCATATATAGTCATAGAGTCTTTAATATGCAAATGTTAAGAAAAACTGCATATTGCAGTTTCAGTCAATGACAGACAAAATATGCGATGGTGGTCCCATTAGATTATAATGCTGCATTTATACCTCTTTTCCAATTTGTGTGTCCACATTTTTTCAAAAGAATTATTATGTCATTCACTTTTTAAAAAATTGATACATAATAGATATAGACATTTTCAGAATACATATAATTTGATACATCTATATAATGTGTAAAGTTTTTGTACCTTTTCTATGTTTAGATATGTTTAAATATACAAATACCATTGTGTTACAATTGCCTACAGCATTCAGCACAGTAACACGCTGTGCAGGTTTTTAGCCTAGAAGAAACAGTCTACACCACATAGTTTAGATGTGTAGTAGGCCATACCATAGGTTTGTGTAAGTACACTCTATGATGTTTGCATAATGACAAAATTGCCTAACAATGCATTCCTCAAATGTATCCCTGTCATTAAGTGATAAGTGCTAGAATATAAGCTTACATTATGACGTAGTTTCCAAAAACAACTCATATTACCTTACACTGCATTAACAGAAGTGCATTGTTTGAAGAAAGGCAGGTGCTAGTTCTTCCAGTCAGACTACTTTGGAATGTTATATTTGACTCCAGGTATTTCATATTAAGATATCTTAATATTAATTGCTGTATTTCAGATAAAGAATGTTTTTCAGAAGAGAGAAAGTAGGATGGTAAAAGGACAAATTATGCCTGGTGAGGAACCATTACAGGAACCGAGAATCTTTAACTTGAATACTTGATGATTAGGGAAGAGCCATGAAAGTTCCCCCCAAATAGCTAAACATCTGCCACATGAAAAAGGGGGTAATACTTATTCTTTTTTTTTTTTTTGAGATGAAGTCTCGCTCTTGTCCCCCAGGCTAGAGTGTAATGGCACGATCTCAGCTCACTGCAACCTCTGCCTCCCGGGTTCAAGCGATTCTTCTGCCTCAGCCTCCCAAGTAGCTGGGATTACAGGCACCTGCCATCACATCAGGCTAATTTTTGTATTTTTAGTAGAGACGGGGTTTCACTATGTTGGCCAGGCTGGTCTCAAACTCCTGATCTCAGGTGATCTACCTATCTCAGCCTCCCAAAGTGCTGAGATTACAGGCGTGAGCCACCATGCCCGGCCGGGTGTTATACTCTTTCTTATTAGCTACAGGGGAGGAAAAAACAATGGTAGGAGGTTTCAGAGAGGAAGCTCAGCACTTACAAGGAAGAACTGCTCAACAGTTTTTTCCAAACCAGTGTTCTGCAGAATACTGTAACATGTTAATTTAAACAAGGTATCTTATGTCTTTACTGCGGGATATCTCACAGTCTTTAATATGCAAATGTTAAGAAAAGGATACAGTATGCCACATTTCCCAAACTTATTTGTCCATAGACACTTCTATTTACAGAGCTGTGTTAATGTCTCTTGAAACAATGGTCATAGAACAGTTTGGGTTAAAGTTATTTAAAAATGAACAGGCTGTCTTCTAAAGGAGTAGGGTCAGGTTCACATCAATATATCTGGAAAAACTGGTTGGTCTTGCTGCCACTCTTGTACTTCTGAAATGCTTGTCATTAAAACTGAAGTATATAAAGCTTGGGCACTTAGAGCAATTTCTCTTACCTGTTAACAGTAACATTATCTGTTAATATTAACAGGTACCTGTTAACATTAACATTGTTACCTGTTAACATTAACAGTATGACACCCAACACTGTTCTACATGAGAATAATGTTTTAAAACCAATGGAAATGAGACTTTCTAGAACAGTGATTCTGAACTTTTTTCCTAGTAACACACTGCACAGTCATGACATTTCCGTCTGTCCTCTGATTCATTCATTGTGTGTGAGGTAATGTTTCTCAATATTTTTCATGACCACACACATACACAAACAAAACCCTCATGCTCTACCACCCCTACTCCCACAAATTTTGGTAGGAACCTCATATAGGACCATGCCCCTCTATTGACTATTTCCATTTTAGGAGCTCAAACTTAGGCATTAATGTAACTCTTTTTGAATAAAAAGAAAATTTCTAGGCTTCAAGGAAGAAATGGTATTTAAAACATGGGAAAAGTAAATCAGGAAAGCAACATCAAAAAGGGACTACTACTTTGCTATTTTTGAGGCTAAATGGAAACATTAATAAAGGAAGTTGGACTTATAGAAACATTGTTGTTATTGAATATTTGCAGCAATAAGCAAGACAAGGTGTAATAATAAGAAAAAACTGGGTCAGCAAGGTTGATAAGACAAAGTTGCAAATTATAATTATTGTTTCTACAACTGTTCACTGAAGGGCACAGTTCAGTGCCATAGAGGCTAAGAAGAATGTACTCTGTAAAAGAATGACTGGCTCTTCAGGATTTCTATAACTTACACCTGTTCCTGTTCTCCAGAACCATGTTTACTAATGTTTACTGTCTCTAATCTGGTTTCCATGATCTATCCATACTGAGAAAGGAGTGTTTGGATAAGCAAATAAAATACTATCATAATCAGAAAGATATAACTTCTCCTGTGTTTTAATAAAATGACATTCTGCTTCCTACGATTTGTATTGACAAATTTACTAAAGTCTTATCAAACCTAGATAGCTGACAAACCAGGCCCTGGCTGGACCAGATCACATCATACATACCAATTCTTGAGGCACCTGTGAATAGCATAATTACATTGCTTACAAAAAAAAAACTAGAAATACCATTCCTTTGTTATTCTGCAATTTTACCTCTAAATCAGTACCTCAAAAATTAGGGCCATCAGTCCTAAATGCCAGTTACCTATAAAGGAATTCCCATAACTTTGCATACCCACAGAGAATGATCTCCATTATACATGTGTATTTTCATGGCCACTTGGAGACACCAGGCCAGCTCCAGCAACACTGCGTAAGTTTTAATGAGTTCATTGATAGACAGGCAGACATAGAATCTCAGGGGCCTTGTTTAAAGATGTCCTGGAAAACCAGTCCTGGAACTTCTGTCATTGCAGAAAGGTGGAGGAGATCAGCTCTGATATGCTGCTATCTCTCTTGTCTAATCCAGTAGAAGAAAAAAAAATGCTTGAAGACAGGGCCAGGAATTGGGGTCAGGACAGAATCCAGGGAGTCATCAGAGTTTTGTCTTCTTGGTCTCTAGGTTGATCATGTTCCCTTGGATGTGAGGAATCTGCTTATCTCCTGGACCCTGCATATCCTCTGTCTTTACAGGAACATAGTAGTAGCCCATGATGGAGAAGATCAGGCAGATCACCAGCAGGAGGCAGGAAAACAAAATAAATTCGGCCCACTGCAGGGGGAAGTAAATATGAAAAGAATATGGAGAAACCTGAAACTAAAGAGATCTTTACAGGATGAGGACTGGGGAGCAGACTGACCTGGGATCACCAGTTCAACCAGACTTTTGCTGGACAAAGACTGGGTTCACTGACCTCTCCTCACATAGGTATATTGTAGTCATTATTGCCACTTACATATATCTGTTTTCCTGGTAAAGGCTGTGTATCTAACCCATTTCATGTCACAGCACTGAGTGGGGAATACAGGAAACAGAGAGATAGGTGGAAAGGGAGAAGAGGAAGCTGGAGGAAAACCTTGAGTAGAAATGAATCCTGCTTCCCTCAGATCCATACCTGTACCAGGCCACTGAACTGTGCCACAACAAGCACGATGATATTCCCAACTGCAATTGTCAATAGCCAAGCTGCCTGCAGTACAGATTTCATGCTAGAGGGAGCCTGGAGATGACACAAATTTGAAAGTAAACAAATTCCCTTCACTGCCCTCATGCTTCATGCATCCAGGAAACTTCTCCCACAAAAACTTTCAAGTTAGAACTTCCCTCATTAAGTTCAGCTATCACATTGATTCAGAGGGTGATAATAATGCAAACAATAAGAATAAGATGAAACTCCTAATTGAATATTTTTAAATTAATTATGTCATTTAATCTTCATTACAACCCTAAGAGATAAGTTCTATTAGTATTCTTACACATTTAAAAAATAGCATTACAGACTGGGCACAGTAGCTCATGCCTGTAATCCTAGCACTTTGGGAAGCCAAGGTGGGCAGATCATCCAAGGTCAGGAGTTAGAGACCAGCCTGGCCAACATGGGGAAACCCTGACTCTACTAAAAATACAAAAATTATCCAGACATGGTGGTGCGCACCTATAATCCCAGCTACTCAGGAGGCCGAGGCAAGAGAATCGCCTGAACCGTGGAGGCAGATGGAGTCTCTCTCTGTCTCTTAGGCTGGAATGCAGTGAGCTGAGATCGCACCACTGCACTCCAGCCTGGGTGACAGAGCGAGACTCCATCTCAGGAAAAAAAAAAAAAGCATTACAGAGAAGAGATAGTAATTTACTTGCTCAAGGTTACACAATAGGTCATGCAGTCAAAATTCGAACATGGGGAGTCTGACTCTGCAGCTCTTCATTTTAATCTTTAATCTCTTTCCTAGAACCCCAAAATCATAGACTCCCATGCTGCACTGTCATGATCTGGGAAGTCAAGATGTTCAGGTCATATATGTTCAGGGTCATAAATAAGGTACCCAAGGCCAAAAGAGATAACATACCTATTTAAGTCAGTGCTAGAATTAAAATTCACCATCCTTCAATCAATGTCTCAATTTCTACCTTCTATTTGCAAAAACTTACCTGAGAATAAGAAAACTCAAGACCTGTGACAGAGAACATGACCTCCCCGGCTGTAACCAGGGCATATTGTGGTAGCTGCCATGCAATGGACATTCTGTTGGCTGGAATGTCTTCAGTCTTCCAGGCCTGAAGACCCTGATTGGTGTTCTTAGTGAGAGAAAGAGAAAATGGACTTGTCAGTAGTCTCAAGTAAATATTCCTAACCACAGCATTCTACAATCTTATATCCATCCTTTGTGTATTTTCATTATTCTGCCACTTTCAGGAAATTGAGCATTTTTACACAATTCCAGCTTTTCAAAACTTCTTTTGGCAATATTATACTCACTTGCCTAGATTCAATCAGATATCATTATTGACAGAGACTTTAAATGAGAGAATATTTTGATATTGCAGTTTGGATTTCCACCATTTTGCCCTATCAGGCATTTTGATCCTGGACAACACTTTAAACCTAAAATGGCATCTGAATTATACAAACAAAGTAAGTTTTCAGAAAGCATTTTCTTGAGAAAAGCTTAATTTCTTATTCCACTTTCTATGTAAGTACAATTAAAGTGCTTTTAACATTTGCTATTTTGATTTTTAATTTACTGAAATTACTTTTATTAGGATGAATTACTCTCTTGATAACACATTGAAGTTTTACTGGTCAATTTTTAAAAATCCATATCAAATGCCACCTACTATTTTGATTTATCTTCATTGGCTTTTTTCTTTTTTGAGACAGGATCTTGCTCTGTCACCCAGGTTGAAGCGCAGCAGCACAATCACAGCTCACTGTAGCCTCAAATTCCTGGGCTCAAGCAATCCTTCTGCCTCAGTCTCCCAAGTAGCTGGGACTACAGGTATGTGCCACCATACCTAGCTAACTTAAAAAGTTGATTTTTTTTTGTAGAGATGGAGTGTCATTATGTTGACCAAGCTAGTCTCGAGCTCCTGGCTTCAAGCAACCCGCCTTCTTTGGCCTCCCAAAGTGCTGGGATTACAGGCATGAGCCACAGTGCCTGGCCCAAGCCATTATTTTTTAACTCAAAATTTACACATTCAAATTTTGTCAAAAAGATGTATTTTTTCTCAATTTCAGAGCCTGCTAGCCTACCAACCAAAAAAAGTACAGGACCAGACGGATTCACAGTTGAATTCTACCAGAGGTACAAGGAAGAGCTGGTACCATTCCTTCTGAAATGACTCCAATCAATAGAAAAAGAGAGAATCCTCCCTAACTCATTTTATGAGGTCAACATCATCCTGATACCAAAGCCTGGCAGAGACTCAACAAAAAAAGAGAATTTTAGACCAATATCCCTGATGAACATCAATGCAAAAATCCTCAGTAAAATACAGGCAAACCGAATCCAGCAGTACATCAAAAAGCTTATCCACCATGATCACGTGGGCTTCATCCCTGAGGTGCAAGGCTGGTTCAACATACACATATCAATAAACGTAATCCAGCATATAGACAGAACCAAAGACAAAAACCACATGATTATCTCAATAGATGTAGAAAAGGCTTTTGACAAAATTCAACAGCCCTTCATGCTAAAAATTCTCAATAAATTCTGTATTGATGGAACGTATCTCAAAATACTAAGAGCTATTTATGACAAACCCACAGCCAATATCATACTGAATGGGCAAAAACTGGAAGCATTCCCCTTAAAAACTGGCACAAGACAGGGATGCCCTCTCTCACCACTCCTATTCAACATAGTGTTGGAAGTTCTGGCCAGGGCAATCAGGCCTGAAATAAATAAATAAAGGGTATTCAATTAGGAAAAGAAGAAGTCAGATTGTCCCTGTTTGTAGATGACATGATTGTATATTTAGAAAACCCCATCATCTCAGTCCAAAATCTCCTCTAGCTGATAAGCAACTTCAGCAAAGTCTCAGGATACAAAATCAATGTGCAAAACTCACAGGCATTCTTACACACCAATAATAGACAAACAGAGAGCCAAATCATGAATGAACTCCCATTCACAATTGCTTCAAAGAGAATAAAATCCCTAGGAATTCAACTTACAAGGGATGTGAAGGACCTCTTCAAGGAGAGCTACAAACCACTGCTCAGTGAAATAAAAGAGGATGCAAACAAATGGAAGAACATTCCATGCTCATGGATAGGAAGAATCAATATCGTGAAAATGGCCATACTGCCCAAGGTAATTTATAGATTCAATGCCATCCCCATTAAGCTACCAATGACTTTCTTCACAGAATTGGAAAAAACTACTTTAAAGTTCATATGGAACCAAAAAAGAGCCTGCATTACCAAGACAATCCTAAGTTAAAAGAACAAAGCTGGAGGTATCACGCTAACTGACTTCAAACTATATTACAAAGCTAGAGTAACCAAAACAGTATGATACTGGTACCAAAACAGTGATATAGACCAATGGAAAAGAACAGAGCCCTCAGTAATAATACCACACATCTACAACCATCTGATCTTTGACAAATCTGACAAAAACAAGCAATAGGGAAAGGATTCCCTATTTAATACATGGTGCTGGGAAAACTGGCTAGCCATAAGTAGAAAGCTGAAACTGGATCCTTTCTTTACTCCTTATACAAAAATTAATTCAAGATGGATGAGAGACTAAAATGTTAGACCTAAAACCATAAAAACCCTAGAAGAAAACCTAGGCAATACCATTCAGGACATAGGTGTGGGCAAGGGCTTCATGTCTAAAACACCAAAAGCAATAGGGCTTCATGTCTAAAACACCAAAAGCAATGGCAACAAAAGCCAAAATTGACAAATGGGATCTAATTAAACTAAAGAGCTTCTGCACAGCAAAAGAAACTACCATCAGAGTGAACAGGCAACCTAAGAATGGGAGAATATTTTTGCAATCTACTCATCTGACAAAGGGCTAATATCCAGAACCTACAAAGAACTCAAACAAATTTACAAGAAAAAAGCAAACAACTCCATCAAACAGTGGGCAAAGGATATGAACAGACACTTCTCAAAAGAAGACATTTCTGCAGCCAATAGACACATTAAAAAATGCTCATCATCACTAGTCATCAGAGAAATGCAAATCAAAACCACAATGAGATACTATCTTACACCAGTTAGAATGGCAATCATTAAAAAGTCAGGAAACAATAGGTGCTGGAGAAGATGTGGAGAAATAGGAACACTTTTACACTGTTGGTGGGACTGTAAACTAGTTCAACCATTGTGGAAGACAGTGTGGTGATTCCTCAAGGATCTAGAACTAGAAATACCATTTGACCCAGCCATCCCATTGCTGGGTATATACCCAAAGGATTATAAATCATGCTGCTATAAAGACACATGCACATGTATGTTTACTACAACACTATTCACAATAGCAAAGACTTGGAACCAACCCAAATGTCCATCAGTGACAGACTGGATTAAGAAAATGTGGCACATATACACCATGGAATACTATGCAGCCATAAAAAGGATGAGTTCATGTCTTTTGTAGGGACATGGATGCAGCTGGAAACCATCATTCTCAGCCAACTATTGTAAGAACAGAAAACCAAACACCGCATGTTCTCACTCATAGATGGGAATTGAACAACGAGATCACTTGGACACAGGAAGGGGAACATCACACACCAGGGCCTGTTGTGAGGTGGGGGAAGAGGGGAGGGATAGCATTGGGAGATATACCTAATGTAAATGACTAGTTAATGGGTGCAGCACACCAACACAGCACATGTATACATATGTAACAACCCTGCACGTTGTGCACATGTACCCTAGAACATAAACTATAATAATTAAAAAAAAGATGTATTTTTTCTGTAAAATTTTGGTTCAAAAGAGATTTTTTTCAGGGTGAAGTTTTTGTTAATATTACCAAATATATGTGATTCCACAATCAACTTTTGTTTCTTTGGTGTAAAAGTACTTTATTTATGTTTTTAGCTATGGTTGGTTTTATGTAGATTATATCTACTAATATCTTTTATTACAAATGAAATAACATTTTGAAAATTATATGTATATTTATTGAAGGGGCTCAAAAAGAAAACAGAAGAAAAAATTATATATATGTATTAGTCCTTTTTCACACTGCTCTAAAGTACTGCCTAATGCTGGGTAATTTATAAAGGAAAGAGGTTTAATTGACGCACAATTCCACATGACTGGGGAGGCCTCAGGAAACGTACAATCATGGCAGAAGGTGAAGGGGAAGCAAGCTTGGACCTTCTCATATGGTGGCAGGAGAGAGAAGAGTGAGGAGCAAAGGGGGAAGAGCTCCTTATAAAACCATCATATCTCATAAGAAGTAGCTCACTATCATAAGAACAGGATTGGGGAAAGGCCTCCAAGATCCAATCACCTCCCACCAAGTCTCTCCCTAGACATGTGGGGATTATGGGGATTATAATTCAAGATGAGATTTGGGTGGGGACACAAAACCTAACCATATGAATATATTTCTTGAAGTAAAACTGTTATCAGGAATTAGGTGTGATATCCAGATACATGAGACAAAACAGCATAGTTAAAATATCATGGTCAAAAGTCCTTCAGGTGAAAAGTCTTTGACATCTAAATGCCCTTAATCCTCTGAATCAAATGGTCATTAGGCCTAAAATAGTAAGATAAGGGAATCTTCTTTTCCTTTAGTTGACAGTGTAAATAATACCTAGGCATCTGTTTGTGTTTTCTCAGCATAAGAAGAGACTATGGCCAGAGCTTCTAAATCAAAGTCAGATACTTACATGCTCATAGGCAGGTAATTAAGTAAATGAAAGAGGCTGCAAGGAAATGATGAGGCCTATGATGAACTGGACAGCACAGGTCCCATCTAAAGGGCACAGCCACTACAGCACCAGACAGTTGACACAGTAATAGCTGTTAGGAAATCTTCTGATTTTTTTATTCCCAAGAAATGTTAGTAATACAACTTCTTAGGTGTAATCTCTTGAATTTATTGGCAATTAATTCTTTTGTTATTTTTGTCAATACTGTGCAGGCCAAACAAGACAGGACTATGAAAGAAATTGGGCCTCCAGACCCACAATTTATGGCCTCTACTGTAGATGCTCATTAGATCCTGGTATTCAGAAACAATACATATGGCCTCTATCTTGAGTGGCATATGAGAGACAGAAGAAACAGAAAATGGAATAACACCAGGAACACAAGCATTATGGGCTGAATCATGTCCCCCAAAACTCATATGTTGAAGTCCTAAAACCAGGTACCTCAGAATATAAACTTATTGGGAAACAGGTTTGTTATATATGTAATTAGTAATGTTGAAATAAGGTCATTAGGGGGGGTCTAATCCAATGACAGTTATCCTTATTAAAACAGGGGTAAATTTGGACACAGTCGGATACATAGGAAGAACACCATGTGAATATTAGGATGATTCTTCTATACACCAAGGAATACCAAATATTTCCAGCAAATTGCCAGAAGCCATGGCAGAAGCATGGAACAGATTATTCACAGCCGTCAGAAGGAACCAGTCCTACCAATACCTTCATCTCAGACTTCTAGTCACCATAATTGTGAGACAATGCATTTCTATCCCATAAGCCACTCAGCTTGTAGTGCTTTGTTAAAGCAGCCCTAGAAAATTAATAGAATTATAGCCAGGCACAGTGGTTAATGCCTGTAATCCAAGCACTTGGATTGAGGTTGAGGTAGAAGAATCGCTTGAGTCCAGGAGTTAAAGACCAGCTTGGTCAACATAGTGAGACCTCTTCTCTTTAAAAAAAAAAAAAAATTTTTTTTTAATTAGTTCATCAGGGTAGGACATGTCTGTAGTCCCAGCTACTTGAAAGGCTGAGACAGAAGGATCACTTGAGCACAGGAGTTTCAGGCTACGGTGAACTATGATTGCAGCACTGCACTACATCATGGGCAACAAGGTGAGACTCTATTTCTAAAAGAGAAGAAGAAAGAAGGAGGAGAAGAAGGTGGAGGAGGAGGTTAATAGAATTAGGTTGGTTTAATATCTGAAAATCAATTGTTGTGATACACTGTATCAGTAAAATAAGGGACAAAAACACATTACCATCTCAATAAATGCAGGAAAAGCATTTATAAAATTCAACTCCTGTTCATGGTAAAACAAACAAACAGAAAACTCTCCAACAAACTAGGAATAGAAAGGAACTTTCTCAGTCTGACAGAGTATCTATGAAAAATCCACAGGTTACACACTTAATGATAAAAGACTGAATGCTCTCCCCCTAAAAGTATTTCTGCTTTCACCACTTCTATTCAATATTGTACTAGAGGTTCCTGTCATAGCAACTGACAAGGAAAAGAAATAAAAAGCATCCAGATTGAAAATGAAAAAGTAAAGCTATCTCTATTTGCTGATGATATGATTTTTTATGTAGAAGGCCTAAGGGATCCACTAAAAAAACCCATTAGCACTAATAAATAAGTTCAGCAAGATTGCACAATGCAAAATCAATATACAAAAGTCAACTGTATTTCTGTAATTTGCAATGAAAAATTTGAAAATGAAATTAATAAAAGGATTCCATTAACCACAGCTTCAAAATGAATAAAGTAAGTAGGAATAAATTTAACAAAATAAATGTAAAATGTATACTCTGAAAATAACTTGTTCTGTGCATAGCGGTTCATGCCTATAATCTCAGCTACTCAGGAGAATGAGGAGAGAGGATCACTTGAGGCCAGAAGTTAAAGACCAGCCTGGGCAACATAGCAAGACCCTGTCTCTAAAAAGGAACCTTAGTCTGGGCATGACGGCTCACACCTGTAATCCTAGCACTTTGGAAAGCCAAGGCAAGAGGATTACTTGAGGCCAGGAGTTTGAGATCAGCATGGTCAACATAGCAAGACCCCAGTCTCTACAAAAAAATAAAAAATTAACCAGGAGCAGTGGTACATGCCTGTAGTCCTAGCTACTCAGGAGGCTGAGGCAGGAGTGTCATTTGAGCCCAGGAGTTCAAGGCTACAGTGAGCTATGATGGTGCCACTGTGCTCCAGCCTAGGCCACAGAATGAGACCTCATGTCTAAATAAAATAAACTACAAAAAATTGTTGAAAAAAAATAAAGAAGACCTAAATAAATAGAAAGACATCTCATGTTCACTGACCAGAAGACTTAATATTGTTAATATGGCAATACTATTCCCTAAAATGATCTTCAGACTCAGTGAAATCCCTATCAAAATCCCAGCTGGCTTCTGATCTTATGATGATCCTAAAATTCATATGAAAATTCATGGGACCCACAATGGGCAGATCAGTCTTAAAAAAGAAGAAGGCTGGAGACTCATACTCTCTGAATTCAAATCTTACTATAAAGCAACAGTAATTAAGACAGTATGGTACTGGCACAAGGATAAACATACAGATCAATGGAATGAAATTGAGAGTCCAGAAAAATGGCCTTACATTTATGATCAATTGAATTTTGACACAAATATCAAGACCATTTAATATGGGAAGAATAGTCTTTTCCAGAAATTGCCCTGGGACAACTAGATATACACATACAAAAGAATGAGACTGGACCCCCTACCTTGATTAACTATAAAACTCTTAGAAGAAAACATAGGCACAGATTCTTTGGATTAGGTATGGCATCAAACACACAATCAACCGAAGAAAAAATAAATTGAACTTCATCATAATTAAAAATTTTTCTACTTCAACAGATACCATCAAGAAAGTTAAAAGACAACCTATTGAATGTGAGATTTTGCAAATTATATATGATAACAGATATATCTAAAAATATATAATGAATGCTTACAACTAATAAATATACAAATACCCCAATTAGAAATTAGGCAGAGGATCTGAAGAGATACTTCTTCAAAGAAAATACACAAATGACTAATAAAGACAAGAAAAAATGCTCCAAATCTTTAGCCATCAGGGGAATGGCAATGAAAACCACAATGAGATGCCATTTCACATCCACAGTGGCTATAATAAAAGAGTGGCTATAATAAAATGAGTGGCTATAATAAAAAGACAGAAAACAAGTGTTGGTGAAGATGTAGAAAAACTGCAACTCATACACGTGATTGGTGGAAATGTAAACAGTGCAGTCACTTTGGAAAAGTCCACAAATGGTTAAACATAGAGTCACCATGTGAGCCAGCAATTCCACTGCTAGTTACCTATCCAAAAGAAATGAAAACATATGTCCACATAAAAACTTGTACATGAATGTTCATAACAGCATTATTCCCAAGAGTCAAAAAGTAGAAACAATTCAAATGTACATCAATTGATAAATAAATAAAATGTATTATATCCATGCAATGGAATATTACCCGTCAATAAAAAGAAATGAAACACTGACACATGCTACAACATGGAAGAGCCTTGAAAAACATGCTAAGTGAAAGAAGCCAGACACAAAATAGCACATATTGTATGATTCCATTTACATGACATGTCCAGAATAGAAGAATTTATAGACAAAGTAGACTAGTGGTTTAAGAGGAAATGGGGAATGGCTGCTAATGGGTACGTTATTTTTTGAGAGGGGTGACAAAAAGTGTTCCTAAATGGCACAAATCTGTGAATATAGTAAAAACCATTGACTATATATTATTGGATATATATTCCTTCTATATAATGAATACTTATTAACATATATTGACTATACTAATATATTTAAAATCATTGGATACTTTAAGTGGGTGAATTTTATGGTATATGAATTATATCTCAATAAAACTGTTATAAAAATGGCACACCAAAGGGATCAAGTTAATTAAATTAATTAATTAGTAAAATAAATAGAACTTTTTAGATCGGGTTCTCATCAAACCTCCAGAAATGTTCTCTCTTTTTCTTATTCACTATCTTTTAGTCTTTAATACAGTGTGAATAGTAATGAAATAACAAAATTAAAGTCAAGATTGACATCAAAATTAAAATCAGAGGTACCCTGCCCTGACTGCTAGGACAACTGTTTTTGACAGACCACAATTAACTGATCCCCAAACTTTGTGTAGAGATTGACATTACTATCAGTTTCAGCATTTCGGACTGTGACATGTTAGCAGATCAAATTTCCAGAGAGTGAGAAGATCTGCATATGAAGCTGGTCAAGAAGACATGAATACTTTTTCATAAATCACTGTTGTTTGCTTGGAGACATAATGAGACTGGAGCAGGCCGTGGCATCTCACAGTGATGGCTCAAGATAAATTATGTCTCTCCTTCCCCAAGACCCTTTGCTTATTGTTGATGTTATCTCTTAACATCCTCTACAGAGACAGTGGGCTTTCTAAACTCATGTAGAGCCAGGTGCGGTGACTCATGCTTGCAATCCCAGCACTTTGGGAGGCTGAGGCAGGTGGATTACCTGAGGTCAGGAGTTCGAGACCAGCCTGGCCAACATGGCAAAACCCCATCTCTACTAAAAATACAAAAATTAGCTGGGCGTAGTCGTGGGTGCCTGTAATCCCAGCTACTCGGGAGGCTGAGGCAGGAGAATCACTTGAACCCAGGAGGCAAAGGTTGTAGTGAACCGAGATCATGCCACTGCACGCCAGCCTGGGCGACAAGAGTGAAACTCCGTCTAAAAAAAATAAAAATAAAAATAAATAAAGTCACTGTAGAACCTGTCATCTTACACTAGAAATAAATATATTTGTCTGCTTTGCCACAGAGTCTTCTCTTTCGTTTTCTGCCTAGAGGATCCCAGGATATATATATGGAGAGAGGGTGAGGAGGTGGCTGTGAGCTACTTACATTAGTAATAACAAACAGATATGCTGCACCAAAGTCTAGTAGACCCAAATTCAGAGAAAAGTTCTTATCTTCTGTTCTACAATGCACTGCAGGGTATCTGGAACAGGATGAATTTAGGTTAGAATAAATATCACAGCTTAGAAAAGCATTCACATCTCCAGGTGAAAATGATCTCATCTCTCTACTGATGGTGAGGAAAGCAGTGAAGCTACTAATTATCTTTGAAGAGAAATGTTTCTTGGAGTGGGTTATTTTCATGCCAGGCTTCTGTCCCTGATTTGAGCTCTTTATTGCCTGTCAGGTATTTTCTAAAATATTCAACCTAAATAAAGTAGTTACAAATCATATTCTTTTGTGAACTTAAGTACCATGTGAACTTTCCTCATGCAAATCTTATGACCTAGTAGAACAGGCTATAACAGTGAACCTGAGAAGATAAGCTCTAAGTAATGAAGTGCCAATTCAAGGTACCAAAGTACATTCTTCAGTAGAAATGGAAACCAATAATAAACTTTGAGAAACTCACAGAGATGGACTGTGTTAACTATACAGAGATGGGCTGTGTTAACTATATAGTGTGGTCTTCACAGCAATCGTGATCTCAACATATCTGTGCAGAAAAAAAGTGAGACTGAGGGAAGGAAGCAAGAGTTGGAAAAGATCAGGAGTGCTTCTACACTCAAAATTAGCCCACATGCAGGCCGGGCGTGATGGCTCACGGCTGTAATCCCAGCACTTTGGGAGGCCGAGACGGTCAGATCACGAGGTCAGGAGATCGAGACCATCCTGGCTAACACAGTGAAACCCCATCTCTACTAAAAATACAAAAATTAGCCAGACGCAATGGTGGGCGCCTGTAGTCCCAGCTACACGGGAGGCTGAGGCAGGAGAATGGCATGAACCCGGGAGGCGGACCTTGCAATGAGTGGAGATTGCGCCACTGCATCCCAGCCTGAGCGACAGAGTGAGACTCCGTCTCAAAACAAAAACAAAAACAAAAACAAAAACAAAACTAGCCCACATGCACCTAAATTCCCCACCTATATATAAAGATAGCACTCAAAAAACAATTATTGACAAAAGTAAAATGTCCACAGGGGCAATGTACTTACTCTCCTCTTTGCACCGTTCTATAAGCAGACACACCATAGTCTTCACCAACATTGAGAGAGGTATCTTTACTCAGGGAGATGTTGACACCTTTATGCAAAGTGTTAACAAACCTGAGGGCAAAGATATTATTTATATATCAAACAAACAGGAACACCTGACTAAAGAGGGTAGGGACCTTTTATGTTTTGGGTATAACTATATCCCCAGTGCCTAAGTGCCTAGAATAGTGGCTGGCACATAAAAGGTACATAATGTATATTGTTAACTAGACAAATGAATGATCCCATATGTAAAAAGTAATCCATAGTCTTAGCTGTCCCTAACTTTCTTTTTCTTGTACTTTTATCTCTCACATCCTCACCAGACCTCTAGCTAGATGGACACTATCATGATCATTCATGGCAATCTGAGTTTCCTCACTAATCCAACTTAGGTCTATCTAATTTATTTCCCTTATAATGGTGGAATGTATCAACTGAGACTTTACTAAGAAAAATAAGATAATTATGCATAAAGAAATGATAGTATTTACATAAAACTCATATCTTAACCTCTTATAAATTAAGCCCAATGTGACTTATGCAAAACTCAGACTTCCAGCCCAGAGTAGGTTGCTATAATTGTTTTGGAGTCTGCAGAAACTTTGGACCCTTCCAGAACCATCTTTCTGTTTTTCTGAACCTGGCACCTAGATTGTCCTCTCAGGATGGGTTTTTGGTACATTTCTGTTTTGATAGTTTTTGATTTGGTCTCTGGCCCCAGGAATAAGAAGGACAGTTCCCTCTAGAGTCCTGAATATTGATTCCTAGATCTAGATCATTCTACACTGACCTAGAAAATGCCCCTCTGGAGGTCCATTTGTCTTATTTTGAGTTGTTTACTTTTTTTGAAGCATACTCAAAAGCAAGTTATTATGACTGTCCTACCTTTCAGTGAAACCCAGACTTTTCACTAAAAGTTCTCCTGTAAAATGCTATTATCAACAGCAACCACTTGACTTTGGTGGCCATAGACCTGTGTATCTGTCCATTTCATATCTAATACTGGCCACAGAGAACACATGTCCTCTTGGGTACTCCATCTCTGTAACTGTCCCTCACCGTTTGACAACACCCTTCAGCCTTACCTGGATTCAAAACTAAGTCTTTTGACTCCAAATGTGTACTATACCATGATGCCTCTTTAGGCTTATAATAAAAACTATACTTTAAGAGATATATATTCAACTATCAAAAAGGAAGGGAGGATTATTTTCTCACTTCCAAATTTCTCTCTGACGATCACAAAGAGAAAAGTACTCAGTTATTTTCCTGAAAGCAAGATAAACAGATAAAATTCAGCAGAAAGAATTTATGCCCCAGACTACAGGGGGCATACACAGATAGGGTCATCTTTGAATCCCACATGAGAAAAGAAGCCTATCTGCTTCTCATTGTCCTAGAAAATCCCTTTTGACACCAGTGCCCCTGGCACTCTAGGAGAGGGAATTCCTGTTCAGAACAAGTAGAATGAAGCCCCAAAGATTAGAAGAGATCCAAGATTCAAGAAAACAGAGTGGCTTGGAATCTCTTTGACATTCAAACCTCACAGTTGTCATCCCATTGGTTGTTTTGCTTTCTGTATCCTTTACCTACAACAGAGGAAAGTAAAAATCAGTAACAGCTGATGAAATAAGACCTATACTCAGAAAATTTGATCATCAGGCAGATCCTTGGTAAGCGTTGATAAGACAGTCATATTACTTTGAGATGACAACTTAAAACACAGGCAATCCCTCAACTTACCATCATGCTGGAGATACTGTTCCCATCTTCACGAATGACAAGACTGTACCAGTTCTTCTCCTGCACAGAATGCTCAGTGTAGAGAGACAAATTGTGATATTTCAGGTGGAAGTGAAAATTCTGGCTTTTTGTTTTCAGGTGCAGTTTGGAATACTGTGGTGTTTTCTGTAAAATGAAGAACATAAATTGAAGGTCACATATACCTTCTACTCCATATTGGACATTACAATATTGTAGCATCTCAGAGTAGGTGACCTCATGAAACATTTTCAACCTAGTAATTCCTTTCTTTAACCAAGTCATTTTAATTCTTGGAATCTACCCTAAGAAATAATCAGAGGTATGCATAAATATTTATGAATAAGAATGTTCATTATAGGATTATGTATAATAATAAAAACTGAATACCTATGTGGAAATGTCTAAATAAACTATGGTATATCTATAGAATGGAATATTATATGCCCATTAAAATCATGTGCTCAAAGATTATCTAAAGACATGGGAAGATGATTATGATACAATTAATGTTAAGAAAAAATCAAGATCAATATAGCATACAGAGTTTCTAATTCATTCAGGTACACACCTCACCTGAAAGGATTTGATGGACTCTATCAACAGAGAATTGTTTTCATTTCCTACCACTGTCACTTTCACCTCATCATCTGCCAGATTCAAGACTTGTAGGAAAACCTCCTGGGGACCTGGCTGGGCTGGGGTCATTTCCTTAGAACAAAGAATACATGTCAGAATCACCAACAAATAATCCTTCAGATACAATGACAACACATATCTCAGTTGTTTCTGACAGCCTAGTCCACTAGCCAAGTAGATATAGTTTTCTCCCTTGGAGAAATATTTGGCTTAGAAAACTCTAAAGGCAGTTTGGAGAGGGAAACATCAGTTCAATGTAGCAAGTACCAATGCCAGCTTACAAACTCCATGCTTTTTGAATCAGCTGTGGCCTCATCCGTAATAGTGGCTATTCAATCTGCCAAAAGGTTTTTACTTGAGTATCTAGAAAGGCATCACATAAGCCTGTATTCCCTAAGGAGATGGCTATCTTGGATATTAGTGTTTGAGAATTCCCTGAAAATACATTCTAAGTCACTCAGGTAGGAGGTGGGCCTCATTTTGCATTGCTGTTTTACCGCTCTATCTACTTATTTATCACAAATACTTATGATACACCTCTTACAAAAAAGGTACTGTGCTAGGTCCCAGGGAATCATGATCGAACAAGTCAAAAAGAGCAAATAAGAAAGATATGATCCTGCCCTCATGGAGCTTAAGAATTACTGAACTCACATTTATTTTGATCTCTACAGCTGCTGCAACTGCAAATGCCAGGCACGCTAGGATCATACCAACAGCCATTTTCCTAAGTGATCTGTGGTGGAAAGGAGAAACAATTACATTTAAACTTTAGACTCTTAAGGATGAAATCCAAACTCTGTAGCCTACTATTAAAGACTGCATTAGGCTGTTCTTGCATTACTATAAAGAAATACCTGAGATTGGGTAATTTATAAAGAAAAGAAGTTTAATTGGCTTATGGTTCTGCAGCATTACAGGAAGCAGAGTGTTGGCATCTTCCCAGCTTCTGGTGAAGCCTCAAGGAGCTTTCAATCCTGGGAGAAGCCAAAGGTGGAATAGGCATGTCACATGGTGAAAGCAGAAGCAAGCGAGGAGGTGGGAGGTGCCACACACTTTTAAATTACCAGATCTTGTGAGAACTCATTCACTATCATGAGGATAGCACCACGGAATGGTGCTAAACCCTTCATGAGAATTCACTCCCATGATCCAATCATGTCCCACCAGGCCCCACCTTTATCATTGGGAATTACATTTCAACATGAGATTTTGGCAGGGACAAATATCCAAACTATATCATTCCATCTCTAGACCCCTAAAATCTCATGTCCTTCTCACATTGCAAAATACAATTATGCCTTCCCAATTTTCCCCCAAAGTTTTAACTCATTCCAGCACAAACTCAATCAAAAGTCCCAAGTCCAAAGTCTCATTTGAAATAAGGCAAGTCCCTTCCACCTACGAGCCTGTAAAATCAACTTATTTACTCCCCAAATAAAATGGTGGTATAGGCACTGGGTAAACATTTCCATCCCAAAAGGGAGAAACTGGCCAAAACAAAGGGGCTACAGGCCCCAGGCAAGTCTGAACCCAGCAAGGCAGTTATTAAATCTTAAAGTTCCAGAATAATCTCCTTTGACTCCACGTCCCACATTCAGGGCACACTGGTACAAGGGGTGGGCTCCCAAGGCCTTGGATAGGTCCTCCCCTGTGGCTTTGCAGAGTTCAGCCCCTGTGGCTGCACTCACAGGTTGTTGAGTGTCTGTGGTTTTCCAGGCCCAGGGTGCAAGCTGCCAGTGGGTCTATCATTCTGGGGTCTGGAGGATGGTGGCCCCCTTCTCACAGGTCCACTAGGCAGTGCCCTTGTGGGGACTCTGTAGGAGGTTCCAACCCCACATTTTACCTCCACACTGCCCTAGTAGAGGTGCTCTCTGGGGGCTCCACCCCTGCAGCAGGTTTCTGTGTGAACACCCACGCTTTCTCATACAGCCTCTGAAATCTAGGTGAAGGGTGCCAAGCATTCTTCATTCTTGCACTCTGTATGCCTGCAGGCTTAACACCATGTAGAAGCCATCAAGGTTTATGGCTTGTGCCCTCTGGGGAAACAGGCATGTCACATGATGAAAGCAGGAGCAAATGAAGGATAGGGAGATACTGCACACTTTTAAATGGTCAGATATCACGAGAACTCACTATCATGAGGACAGCACCAACGGGATAGCCCTAAACCATTCATGAGGAATTCATCCGCATGATCCAACCACCTCCCACTAGACACCCCCTCCAACATCCAACATTGGGGATTACATTTCAACATGAGATTTGGGTGGGTACAAATATTCAAACTGTATCAAAGACTTTTCCTGATTTTATCCCAATTACTTTTCTTTTTTAAATCCACGTTTCCATGACCAATTACTTTTCAAGGTATTTTCTAGAACTCCTCTTCATACATTCTTCTTTCTTCTTTTTCTTGAGTCACATTGAACTGCTCTTCTCTGTGATATACCACATTTACTCACCTCCATCTTTGCTTATGATGGTTTTTCTATTCACTATGTCATAATACCAAAAATAATGGCAATACAACAAGGTTTATTGAACAAATACCCTATGCCAGGTGCTGTACATGATTTACGTCACTTTCCTCTGCAGAAATCTGTTGACCTTGACAGGGGAAGGACATTTTCTTTTCTACATCTCCTTGGCACTTGATCTTAGGCTCTTCTTAGGACACTTATTTTGCCTGTGTAGTAGTTGCATTTTATTTATATGTGTGTGTGTGTGTGTGTGTGTGTGTGTGTGTGTGTGTGTGTGTATATATATGCTCTAGCCCCCTTACTAAGTAATAAACTCTTTGAGGGAAATGGTTTTTTCTTGATATATATTTTCATGACACTTGGTCCTAAACTTCCCGACATCTGCTCAATGAACAGATGAAAAAGGGCCATTTTCATTTGGTAAAGTGGTCATCAAAATGAAATTGCTATTAAATCAAGAATGAAAGAAGGCTTGAAACTTTCTTTTGTGAAACTCTAAAAAAGACTAATCCTTCTATTTGGAAAAAATTTCAGGCAGTAATTGGGAACAATTCAGTTCCCAGTCCCACTAGGTTTCCCATTTGTTTCATAGGGACAACAGGAGATTTAAAGGGATTAGTAGTCATCAAAGGCCTTGAGTTTCTTTGAAGAGACAACATTCAAGAACAAAGAAGAAAGTTGATTTAGGAGCTAAATTTCACATATTTTTGGTTTGGCATGAAACCTAGACCTGCCCCTTCAATATCACACAGTTAAATCCACAGTAATGGCTTTGACTCTCATTAATTAGATCTAATTCCCATTTTTCAGGGTCAATAGGCATTTAGTCCAACATGGAAAAACAGAAGCAGATAGATGATAAACCAAAACCAATCATCACTAAGAAAAATACTGACATTGAATATTTGTCAAACTGGGGAAAGATTGAGTCAATTTAGAGTAATCCATACAAGCATAGTGAACACTTACGAGAAGTTAATTCCACACTTGGAGACCAGACGATAAATGACAAAGTCAAACAATGGGATGAAGATAAGAACCAGAAGGGGATTTAGAACCTGTAACACCATAATAAAAAGGATTAGCTACAAATGTTCTCCTTTCATGAGTGTGAGTACTGCACTCATTTGCTTGTGTACACTCTGTCTCACATCAGCACACACTTTTGTCATTGTAAGTACAGAATGATTCCACGTTCCTCAGTCCATTTACACCCAAGACCCTATTTCCCTTGCATAGCATTTTAGCTTTCAAATATCCCAAGGGACAAGTTTCACTCTGAGCCTGTCTTTCTGCCAGCCTTATTGTGAGCTCTTTCCTCTCATGACTTCATTGCTCACAAAACAAGCCTTACAATTTCTTTTATAACATTTTCATTATACTATCTTGACACGGAAAAAAAATCCAATGCTTATACTTTACCTGTGGCAAATTAAGTACTTAACAGGGGATTGAAGGAGAAGTGTGGGGCTTAAAGAGAATGTTTTCATGTCGAAGCTTGGCCCTTATCAGTGTACAAAGAGAAAAGCATCAAATTATGGTTGTTAATCCTAATACTGCAGGTGGAGGCATAGATAAGGAAACAAATAAGTCCCTATGGCTATAGAAGAGTCCCATACCTGCATCTGGTCCGGCTGAAGCACAAAAAAACCCTGAAACATTATAACAAATTATATTTAGATGATATCTGAAGACAAGAAAAAAAATTGTTGGCCTAGATCAATAATTTTACTAGTTAGCAAGTGAGAAGCATATGAGAGAAAATTCATCAGGTCTTTGGTTCAGGGCCACTATTTTGCTGTTAAGATTATTTGGGGGATGGGAACAGACTTGGGAAAGCTTCTGGCTATGTTTGCCAGGCAGATGGGCGTAAGGGAGAAATTCTTTTCTATGTATTATGCTTTCCTTAACTTGAAAGGAAATAGAGTCAGTGCATTTTTATTGATCTCAGCAACTGTAGTTTTAGGTTGCAATAATATGAAGGACAAGACATCATGGTTAGGGTAAAGACTCTCCCTGACATATAGTGTTTCTGAAGTTGTTCTCCAGAGGGCCAACAAGAAGACCACCATGGTAAATAAGAGACAACCAGAGGAAGGGAAAAGGTAAAATTATATTTTGCAGGCTCCAAATAGACTGACTAATAAGACCCTGGTATCATTCTACTCTGTCCTTTTGAAAACTGAGAAGATAGAAAAATAATATACTAATCTGGGAAAAGAACAATTGGGAGCAGAGGTGGTACCTTATTTGAGTGGGCTAAAGAATGGAGTTTGGAAAAAGAGAAAATAATATGTATAACCTTCTTTCCATATCCATATATACAAAATATTCCATTTCCTACAGGTCCTCTGCTGTGATCCTTGTTTTTTATTTATTTATTTATTTATTTTTTGAGACGGAGTCTCACTGTGTTGCCCAGGCTGGAGTGCAGAGGCTGGATCTCAGCTCACTGCAAGCTCCGCCTCCTGGGTTTACGACATTCTCCTGCCTCAGCCTCCCGAGTAGCTGGGACTACAGGCACCCACCACCTCGCCCGGCTAGTTTTTTGTATTGTTTTTAGTAGAGACGGGGTTTCACTGTGTTAGCCAGGCTGGTCTCGATCTCCTGACCTCGTGATCCGCCCGTCTCAGCCTCCCAAAGTGCTGGGATTACAGGCTTGAGCCACCGCACCCGGCCTGTGATCCTTGTTGAAGAGATAGACCAATTGTGTAGTAGCGCCACTCAAACCTGTCCCTGCTGTGCCCTGCGATAGGCTTAGACAGAAGAAAATCACTATCCCAGGTATGTATGACTTCATTTGCTAGCCTCTCAATACTTCCTTCTATACATTGAAACTTTCTCATCTTTATGTTCCTGATTTCTAAAGAGAAGATTCTGGTTTACATTTCTAAAGAGGATATTCTGGTTTTTATTTCTAAACTAGCTTTCTTTATCTTTGCCTACACAGTACCTTTAGGCTAAAAGCACTTCTCTGAAAATCTTGTTAGTTTTCAGGCAAAACCAGAAAGAAATTAATTTTTCCCCAATATGGATGTTGAAGAAAATAATAGACTTATCTGGAAAATCTCTTCTACTCACCAAATTCCCATTCATCCTGATGGCTTGCAAAGTCCATCGTGAACCCTAGGAAAAACAGATCCTATTATGAGAAATCCCTTTCCTGTGAGAGGGAAGTGACTGTAAGGAGGGGTAATGTCCAAAAGAACTATTCTTACCTGCTGATCCAAAAGAGCCCAGAACATGGGCAATGGGATATAAAGGAATAGTACCCTGGTCAGTGCCTTCACATCCATAATGAGTTGCTTCTGCAAAAAGGAGGAAGAATAGGCAGAAATGCTAGAAGTTCTGTACGTGGCTTTCTTGCTTAAAGTAGAAGTGTCCAAAAAACAGTAGAGAGGAGGTTGAATGCAGTAGGATAGAATCATTCTGAACATTAGGAAAGACTGTATCAAGCCATAAGATGTTTCTGCATTTCCAACTTACTGGATATTTCTCAGCTGCCCAGTCTAGCCAGTGCTGTCGCTTTGGAATGTCTCCAGAACGGTTCTTGAAACGATTGGAAATAGCAAACTAGGGCAGAGCATAGACATCATGGGAGAGACAAACAGAAAAACATCCTCTGCCTTTTCCAACTTATTATACCTTCCTTCAAACACCATACTTTTCGTGACTTATTCCAACTCTTTGACCTAATCAGGCACTGAATTTAAGAATATTTCTGATATAATTTTATAGGCACTGACTTTCAGAATATTTCTGATATAATTTTATCTATCACTTTAAGAAAGAACTTGCCATTCAAAACAAAAAATAACAACAAAAAAGAAAAAAGTTATCTGTCTATGCATAATTACATTTCAGAAGACTTTTGCCAATTGAAAAAGATGATTACCTTTTTTAAACTTAATGGGTAAGTAGAGCCATAAGAAGAAGACTGGTTAATCTCAGCTTGTTAAAAAACATGGAAATAGAACAGAGGTCATTGAGAAAAATGTATGTCAATGTTTGAAGGCCAAGATTCTCAGCATAGCATCTCTTTCTTTTGATTGAAAAAGGCAAGAAAACAATTTATGGACTTACCCAGATACATTTGAAAACTTGAGCCACTATGTTTCCTTCGGGGGGTGGTTTATTGTATATTTTGCTTCCCATTGCAAACACAACTGCAGTTGATACACAAACAAGTTTCTTAGCTTCTCATTCATTAGGTTGGTGCAAAAGTTATTGCGGTTTTTGCCATTAAAACCGCAATAACTTTTGCACCAACCTAAATAGCACATTCAATATATCAGTGCTAAGGGCAGGCTGCTGAACTGTGGGAGTGGCTGGGAAATCTCATAAAGAGGGAACTGACTTACATTTCCTGACTTTTGGAGTTATCAAAATTGCAGGAGCCAAAAGAAGATAAAATGGTATGTTGTTAAGAGAGATATCTATTGAGACTTTCATGTAATGACAGAAGTGGAAGTCATCTGTGACTTCTTACTCTTCTTTCTCCATCTCCATATCTGAAATTTTACCAAGTTTTATTGGTCCTCTTTCTTTAATGTATTGCCTATTTGCCCCCTCTTTCACTTTACTACTGCTACCACTCTTGTTCAGGACTTCACAACTTGTACTTTGGATTATTAAAATGGCCACCAAATAGTTTCTCATTCCCTAGTCTCTTCCTTCTTTAATCTGATGCCAAATGTTTCTTTCCAGGATCTATTAATACTTAACTCACCCAAACTCCTGGCCTGAAAGACTTTCCCAAATTCACTGTTATCCTGATAGCTATTGTTAGCCCTACCATCTATTTGAAGGTTTATCACATGTACCTTGTTAAGCATTTTACATACATTAACTGATTTAGCTTGACAAAATATGTGCCGCTATCTCTATTTTATACATGAAGGAATATTAAGGAAATTAAGCACCCTATACAAGGTTACACTGCTAGAAAATACCAGAACTGGACTTTTGACCTGAGGCTTGACTGACTCAAAAATCTATGTATTTAATCCTTTGCATCTCACTCACTAATTCTTAGACACTACTGGTAACACAGGTGAAAAAAACAAGGTCCCTGTCCTCAAAGGAGCTCACCTCAACCTGCTGTTTCCCACTTTATATTTCATCAATCTTTTTGAGGTACCCTATGCTGTAACCACTATTCATCATTTTGACAAACACTTCTATTCTATACAATTTCTGTTCTTGAGCTCATTCTGTTTCTTTCAGCCCATATCTCTGTCCTTTAACCACATCTTCACAGCTAATTTAAGGGGATTTCATTTCTTTAATTTTCCTTTTATTTTCCAAATTAACAATGAGCTGGTATTACCTTTGTAGTTATACAACAGTGGGGTTTTTTTCAATTTCATCAAATTAAACTCAATAGAAAAACTCCATCTTGGTTCCCTCCCAGATGCACTTTCCTCCTTAACAGATTTCCTAGCTTCAGCATGATGCCCCTCTAGTAGATCTTCTGCTAAAGATGATTTTTTCAGGGACCAGTAGCATTTTCAAGTATCCTTACACATCAGAATGCAGAGATCACTTTACTTTTCTCTCCCATCACTTTTTAATATCTCCATTCCTCTCAGTCAGATTCACTCTACCACTTTTTCTCATTCATCCTCTCAGTTTTCCCAAAGCTTCTTCAAATAGCATCCTTTATCTATAACACCCTTCTCACGGTCGATAGAAAAAAAAGTTCAGTAGAGGAATGCTAATCCTGAGAGTCAAGTGTACAGACAAAAAAGTACCTAGAAGGCTGGGTGCAGTGGTTCACACTTGTAATCCCAGCACTTTGGGAGGCTGAGGCGGACGGATGACAAGGTCAAGAGATCGAGCTGACCAACCTGGCCAACATGGTGAAACCCTGTCTCGGCTAAAAATACAAAAATTAGCTGGGCGTGGTGGTGGGCACCTGTAGTCCCAGCTACTTAGGAGGCCGAGGCAGGAGAATCACTTGAACCTGGGAGGCGGAGATTGCAGTGAGCTGAGATTGTGCCACTGCACTCCAGTCTGGTGACACGTGAGACTCCATCTCAAAAAAAAAAAAAAAAAAAAAAAAACAGAGGTACTTAAAAAAGAGGAAAATTTTGGGTAGAGAATAAACTGCTCCTGAAACTAAGAATGATCCTAGAAAGAGGCTGGACCTTCGAATGGAAACTCCTTCAATTTCCTGCCACCAAATCTATTAATTCTTGTATTCACACTCATCCTGTCCTCCCTCCAGGTAGGTGAAGGTGATATTCCTCCTCCTATCCAAAGCTAATTTGCTCATATGTGTTTTCATACTGATTATACAGTCTTTATCTTGTATCTTCAACTTCTTTCTGCACTGGATTATTCCTAATAACATTCAAACATGCTAAATATCCTTTCTTGAATCCATGTCACCTTCCAGCTATAAATACTATTTCACTTTCTTACTGATAGTGACAAGAGGCAGATAAATTCCCAGGCAGACATGGACGGGTCCCAGTGAAACCTGACCTTCAAGCCAAAGACAGTTTGAAGCCTGAAAACCGAGTTGCCGGTTCCTGATAGAGTCCATGACCTGAGTGAGAACTTCTATCTCCGTCTTACGCTCTCTCTCCATTGGTTCCTTTTGGATGATGGCTTTTAACCAATCAAGTGGTGCTTTTTCCAAACCCACCCATGGACCAATAAGCATGCACTCCCCCATTCAAAGCCCATAAAAAACCCACACTAAGCCTCACAGACAGCTACCCACTTCGGGTCCCTTCTAGGAGCTCAGAGCTTTCCTTCTGCCACTCAATAAAATTCTTCTCTTCTCTGCTTTACTCACTCTCTGGTGTCCACACACCTCATTTCTCTTGGTCATGGGACAAGGACCTGGAACTTGCTGAACTGTGGGTGGTGGGAATGAAAGGGCTGTGACACCCTTGGTCAGCTCACCAAGCTGTGGGCAGTGAGAATAAAAGAGCCGTAACACGCTCCTGCTCGCTAGACTACAGAAGAAAGAGAGTTGTAACATGCTCCTGCTCGTTGAACGACAGGAGTGAACAGCTGTAACATTTCTGGGGGCTCAGACCTCGGGAATTCCTGAGCAGGAGATGTAACATCCCTTAGGGCTCTGCGATTGCTAGCATCTCTGAGTTTTTGGGTGCCACCGTGTTCCCCTTGTCTAGATGCCACACCCAACACAGAAGCTGCTCGCTGCATGCCTAGTCCAGTCATGGGCTGAGCATGGAGCTAGGCACAGCATGGAAGGAGGCACAGGATCTGAGCAGGTGGGAGCCAAGTGCAGCCTACCAGGCTGAGCAGGTGGAGCAAGCCCAGTGGGCCAGAGCAAGGCCCGAACAGAGGTGGCAGTGGCCACAGAGATTTCTGGCTGACAAAGCAGCACCAAAGGAATCCTGTAGCATTTACTTCTCAGTCTCCTCCAATCAGTCTTCAGCCTCCACCATTCTACCATAACTGATATAATCATACCAGTGACCTCCTTGTTGCTATATTTAATAGACATCTGTCACCCCTATCTTAATCTCCCACTCAGTAACATTTATCACGCTGAAAGAATCCCTTCTTGAAATCCTCTTGGTATCCAAGATAGCACTATTACCACTTTGGCCATTCCTTCTTAGTCTTATTTGTGGGCTTTTCCTCTTTGTCTATCTTTTAAATCCTGGCACTTCTTGAAGTTTGAACCTATCCTCCCACCCCACTTTTTTTTTTAACCTTACTCTTATCTTACTAGCTTTTAGTTATCTATCTTCATTTCATGGCTTATTGTTACCCATATACTAATGACTCCAGATCTGTATCTATAGTGCAAACATTTCTTCTACGCTCTAATCCTGTATTTCCAAATAACTGTTTGGTAACTCCAATTAAATATTCCAACTACATATAAAATGCAACATGTTCAAAACTAAATTTATCAACATTGCCCCAAACTGGCTTTTCCTCAGTATCTCAGTTAATGACCCCACTGCCTACCCAGTTGCTCAAGGTTCAGAACACTACATTAAACCTTGACTTATCTTCTCCCTTACTTAACATATGTAACCATTCTAAGGTTTGTTAATTCAACCAGGGCCAGATTAGGGTGAACTGAGTGAGGCACTCATCTCAAGCACTAAATTTAAGCAAATATCAAAAAATTCAGTAATCAAAATAAATATTATCCTTGCCTCATCTGAACACAATCCTTTCTCTACATTATAGAAACATCATTGAGAAATTAAAATCTAGCAATTATTCATCTGTTAAAATGTTTTGAGAGTTCCCCACTCTCCATCACAATGAAGTTCTAATTCCTTACTGGTTTAAAAGGCCCTTCATTATCTGGTTTCTGGCAGTTTCTCCTCTTTATCATTCTCATTCATGCTTTAGGTAATCCGAATGCCTTTAAAGCTTTTAAACATGTCATGCTATTTCTCAGCCTCTTGTCTTACAGCTACTGTGTCCTCTTTCTGCATCACTTATAATTTCTTTATTGATTAACTGCTGTTCGGCCCTTAGGTCTCACCTTAAATGTCATTTCTTTAGGCAAACTTTTTACAACCCCCAAAGTATTATTTATTTATTTATTATTTTATTCATTTATTTATTTATGAGATGGGGCTTGTTCTGTTGCCCAGGCTGAAGTGCAGTGGCACAATCATGGCTCACTGCAGCCTTGACCTTCCAGGCTCAAGCGATCCTCCCATCTCAGCTCCCAAATAGTTGGGATCATAGGTGTGTGCCATCATATTCCACTAATTTTTAAATGTTTGTATAGATGGAGTCATGCTATGTTGTCCAGAATAGTCTCAAACTCCTGAGCTCATGCAATCCTCCTGCCTTGGCCTCCCACAGGTGTGAGCCACTGTGCCTGGTCCCTCAAGGTCTTAATTAAACATTCCTTTTATGTGGTTCCCATAGCTCTCTCTGTACTTTCCTAGATCATACTGTATTGATCTGGAAAATACTGATCATACTATATTGTAAATTCCTTTTACTTGTTTGCCTTCCTCTCCCTACTGAACTATATAGCTCTTTGGGAACATGAACTCTCCAGGCATCCAATTCACCAATGTGATCTCAATACCTAGCACATAATATGGCACACAACAGGTTCATTAAATGTTGGTTAAATAAATGATTGAATGAAAAAATAAATTAATTGGCTGGGCGCGGTGGCTCATGCCTATAATCCTAGCACTTTGGGAGGCCGAGGTGAGTGGATCACAAGGTCAGGAGATCGAGACCATCCTGGCTAACACGGTGAAACTCCGTCTCTACTAAAAACACAAGAAATTAGCCAGGCATGGTGGCAGGTGCCTATAGTCCCAGCTACTTGGAAGGCTGAGGCAGGAGAATGCCAGGAGGCAGAGCTTGCAGTGAGCCAAGATCATGCCACTGCACTCCAGCCTGGGTGACAGAGTGAGACTCTGTCTCAAAAAAGAAAAAAAAAAAGAAAAAAGAAATTAATTATAGTAAAAGATCAGAGAATTGAGTTATTGATTAGTACCCAGAAAACTGAAGCTGCTGACTAACAATGACAGCTAGCACTTAACATTTCATAATTTATAAAACATTTCATTTATATCATCTCTTTTTTATCTTCATAATTACTCTGTTATGTAAATATTATTATCATGCAAATATTCGGGAAAATATTTGGCTTTGAATGAAGAAGGAAGTAAGGGAATATATTATCACAGCTCACCTATAATAAATTTCCTGGGCATTGGGAATTCTGAGTACTACTATCACTGCCCTCCCATCCACTCCCTGTTAGAAAATACACTGAACATTGAGTCTCTGGGCTGTTTTTCCTCTGTTGAGCTCTTTATGGGTTTGCACTGGATATCTTCCAGGGGGGTGTCACGCTGAGGCTCAGAGTGAGAACAGGTTTCCAGGTCAATGATTAGAAATAATCATGCCCAAGTTTTCCCTCAGGCTGTGTAAAATAAGGAACACCACATCCCTCTTCTCTTCCAGGACTGGGTTCTCAGGGATAAAAAGAATTCCACTTGATTTAAGTTGCATTAATTTTCACCTACTTATTCACCTCCTCTTATTCTCTTTACTCAAGGGCAGACTCTTTGGGGGCACTACAGAGCAGGGCAGAAATAGCTAAACCTAGAAGCTGTTTTAAAAGGCTTAGAGAACTTAAAATCTTTTCCAGTTACCAGATAAATAAGTATCATATGAAGTAAACTAGTTTGAAAGAGGGTTATCTTCCTTGCTTCCCTATATATTGTAGTGTAGAGCAGTGGATCTCCACCTTGACTATACATTAGAATGACCCAAGATACTAAGAAATGTCCAAGTCCCTGACTGGCCCAGAGTTTGATCTTTTTTAAGGCTCCCCAGAAAGCATCTATGCAACCTTGGACACTTTTCTTAAAGTTTCTGACTTCATTCAGAATCTACCTCTAAAGTTGAGGGGAAATCCTTACAATAACAGTTACCCAATAGGCCTAGTGTGAGGATTGAATGAAACAGCTTGTGTAAAGTGCCTACAGGATGCTTTACATGTGTCAGGTATCAATGATTATTAGTTTCCTTTGCTTCACTGCACTTACCAAGTGCAATTACCATGAGCAATCCTGGAACTCCAAAAGCCAATGCATAGCAGTCTTCTCCAAAACACTGCACATCTCCTAAAGAAAATGGGATGTGAGGAGGAAAGTAACTCTGAGTCTTGAATATTTGATGTTTTATTCTACAAGTTCAGGTTGTCAAATAAACCTGAGCTTGCAGAATAGACATAACCATCCTCTTTCCTCCCATCACCCAATCCATAATTCTTCTTTTGGGCCAGACAAATCAAGACTAAAATAAATTTTCACAGATTATCAAGCTCTTATAAAAGGAGACGATGGACAGGAGAAAGCCTTGAACAGCTTTTTGGCTGACCAGAGCAAAGCCTTTTCCCATCAGAAAAAATCCTAACCTCTCAGCATGGGTGTGATAAATGTAGAAATCAAGCTCCCTGCGTTGATGGACAGGTAGAAGACTGAGAAGTATCTAGTCCGTTCCTCTGCCTGAAACAAACAGGATAAATCATCAGTGCAATGTGTCCCCTAGCTCCAGCCCCATTCCATGTTCAGATTCAGAGCTGAAGGTACATACAAAGAGAAAGATTCAGATATTGCCTCCACAATACCTGAATTTCATACTATTAATAGATATTTAAAAACATGGCTGGCTGACCCCAATCATTTACTTACCTTTCAAACTCCAGAGCAGCTTTAACATTCTTTTCCTCCCTTTGCATAGGTTAAAAATAATCTTCCTGTCTTCAGTGCCACTACTGTGTCCTGTATATAGCTATTCGAATATTAATGTCTTTGCATTAAATGTCTGCATTTGTGTGCGTGTGTGTGTGTGTTTTGTTTTTGTTTTTGTTTTTCTGAAATGGAATCTCACTCTGTCGCCCAGGCTGGAGTGCAGTGGTGCAATCTCAGCCCACTGCAAACTCCGCCTCCCGGGCTCAAGCCATTCTCCTGCCTCTGCCTCCCGTAAATGTCTGTTTTGTCAGTATATTGTGAGTTTCTTTACAGCAGAAATTTTACCTTACTAATTTCTGTAATCCCCAGTACCTTGCACAGCATCTGACATATATTAGGGACTCGATAAATGTTTATTGACTGTATTAACTAAGTGAATGCCTGATTTAGTTAAATAATAGATTTTGTGGTAGGAGTATATGGTAGGAATAGTACCAGAACATAGGACAGTGGAGTCAACTGTTAATGAAGCAGGCTAGTTCACCTAGTGCTTAAGGGAGATCTGCCAGAGAGTCTAAAAAGAAATCAGCAGGCTTAGAAGTGGCTAGTAGAAACCTGGAGGCGGATCCCTCCTACTAAGTGAAATATCTTTGTGGAACAGTTACCAAATGAAACAACTTTCAAATAAAGTTGCTGATGTTTCATTCATTATACACTGACATGCTTCATTCTGACACCCCAGATCTCTCCCTGCCACATTAGAACAACAAGTCCTTCCCCATTGTCTATTTATAGTGTGTTTTGTTTCCTCTCCTGGTTTCAATTTAAACCTTATTCCACTCATCTAATTTGTATAGTTCATCATACATAGGGTCCCACTTGCCAAAAGTTGGTTCTTTCTCCAAAGTCAGCAAGCAATTATGATCTATGGACTCTTGGACAGATAAAGAGTATAAAATAACCCAAATGGTCTGAAAGGTAAGAAAAACACTAGAAGACAGGACAGCATAGCAGAGGCAGACAGAGATAACAGGCATTATATCAGGGTGGAAGAGGGAAAAGGAAAGAGAGAGAGAGAGTGGGGGGCAGGGGAAGAGAGAGAGAGAGAAGCAGTGAGGGGGAAAAAGAGAAACTGGAAAAAAGATAAACAGTTAGAGAAGAAGGAATGGATACATGAAGACAGACAAAACTGAAAACTGGAAACAAAAGTGAGGAAGCCAGAAATGTTGACAGATCTAGAAATAGACTACTTCCTTGCCTATTTGTCACTGCTTTCTCACAGAAGCCCATTTATTTTTCACCACTGGTAATGGAAAGTATTTAGGAAGAGAGGGAATGATCAGCCAGGGAAATTCATCTATAGACATTCATTATGTTTCCTTGCAATTGGTCATTTTCCCCTTTCATGGAATCTCAAAATGAGATGCTTAAATCATCTCTATACTACTCATCACCTCCCATTCCCAAAGTGCTTACCATATCTCTTCCTAAACACCTCAAGTTAGAGTAAACTTACAATTGTTTGAAGTTTTTCCACCCATCAAGCAAAACACTGGCTTCTTGGAGGCTTTCCCTCATTGGTCTCAGGTTTAATCACTGACATCCTTCCAGCATCTATAAGCAGCTATAGTATTCTCCTCAATTCTTATCCAGACTAACTATCCCCGTTTCCTTCAACCTTTCCTCATAAGACGTGCCTTTTAGTTCATCTACCACCCTGGTCTCTTTCCTTTGAAACTGTTTCAGTTTTCCTCACTATTAATGACCAGTATCCAGCATTGAATACAACTGCTCAGGTAAGATCTGATCAGTAGATTACTTCAATCTTGGCAAATGGCTATCTGCCAGGTACCACTGTTAATGCTGGCTCCATATTCTTGAAAATACAAAATAACAAGATTCTTACATGTTTTTCTTCAAACTGGTCTCCACCAAAAGCTGCCACACAGGGTTTGATGCCTCCTGTCCCCAAAGCTATTAGACTCAGGCCGACCAATGATAGGACTCTGAAATGGAGAGGTGAGAATGCCAACCATGTTGATCTAAATGCACCTGTAGAGATGGACTACATAGCTGCAGAGGGGAAAAAATGTGTACAAGGGCAAAGATTCCCTTCACATTTCTATCCCATGGGTACTTTCCATTTGCCTTTACTCCTAGGAGGTATTCATGGGCACTTACCATATTTATGATCCTTTGGCTTCTGCAAGAAAGTATGCATTACGTGGGAAGATTTCATCCCTGGTAGTTCCATTTACCCCTTACGAGCATCCAGTGGAAGCAGATACTGAAGGAACTCCAAAGTTATCACACTGGTTCCCAATCTTGTTTTAGTCAAAGTAGTACTTCAATAGAAAGACCTTTTAAGGGCCCTGATCTCACATATCCTCACCAAAATTTAAAAAAATATATAAAATGTTCAAATTCATCATAACTAATAGCAACAGTGTCAAAGATATTTGACGGGACACCAATAAGAAAGTAGTATTTCTTAAATATCAAGGCCAGGTGCAGAGGCTACGCCAGCACTTTGAAAGCCGAGGCAGGTGGATTACCTGAGGTTAGGAGTTCAAGACCAGCCTGCTCAACATGGTAAAACCCCATCTCTACTAAAAATACAAAAATCAGCCAGGCGTGGTGGTGGGCACCTGTAATCCCAGCTACTCGGGAGGCTGAGGTGGGAGAATCACTTGAACCTAGGAGGCAGAGACTTCAGTGAGCTGAAATCACCCCACTGTACTCCAGCCTGGGCAACAGAGCAAGACTCTGTCTAAAAACAAACAAACAAAATTTCTAACTCATAAGATAAATACATGTACACAGGCACACAGGCGCATTATAACATGAATACATATAAACTGTTTTGTGAACAGCTGTAATCCTCTCTACTGACTGAACAAATGGACATCAGAATTTATCAAATGCCTCTGATCCCATAAACATCAATAGCAACTGAAATATATGGAACTACACATAAATGTAAATATTCGAAGCTTTGAGTATGACTTCTACAATTAATTATAAGGAAACATTATAGACTTTTTTTTTTAACCCTGGTAAAGTATAGTCGCATGGATGAATAAAAAGGTGAGGGAATATGTAGGGTGTGAAGGTTTTGTTTATTTTCAAGCATATGAAGAGGATACTAACTAGGTATTCTACAAGTCCCAAAAACAGATGAGCTCAGATAAAGCAGGAAAGAGTTCAACTGGTCATAAGACTGTTTTTCTTAACCTCTTTTGTAGTAAAACTGTAGATTGAAAATAAAGGGACATCTCTGGTAAGAAAATAGAAAATCATTTGTAACGAATGTTTGAGAAAAGTAGTTTAGTTGATTCCATGATTTTACTCACGTGTGTACCACTTGTCCTCCCAGTATTGGTAAGGCACCCAAGGACTTGATCACATGGCCAAGCACATACACCAAGGAGAGATAGATGATTGTCCTGTTGAGAGAGCTAAATCAGTGGGTCTAAAACCAAAACTGAGAGACTTGAATAATACAGACGTAGGGTTCATACTGTTCTCAGTGTGGGGATAAAAGGAGGAGGAGGAGGAAAGAATTATCTGAGAAATCCAAATAGAGACAATAATGGTGAATGAAGTAAACAGACTAGGAAAAAGGAGTGGAATTCTTCACTCTGTAGTGTTCAAGTTCCCTTCCTATACCCACCTTCCCCTTTCCCTCTACCCGCTCACTTCACACATACACAGAGAAACCCTACTTTGTACGGACATGACAAGAACAAGGTGGATTTGTAGCAAAAGTGACAATGTTTTAAAATGGGAGAACCAGTAGAAGAGGATATTTGGATCTTAGGCGTTTTTCTCAAGGAATATCTTTTGCTGTAGGGAGCAAGAGGGGTCAAGGAAGAACTTCAAGTAAACAGGAATGGCTAACCCAACGACTTCCTCAAAATTAAAGAAGCACTGGGAGGTAAAAAGCTCTCAGGTTCAGCCTGGGTAACTTGGATTCTTGGATTAATTGTAATCCTCACCACAGTTTCCTCAGGGACAAGTTAACAAGGGTAAGAAAGGAGCCAGGGACTTAGAATAGACTGTCCACTGATAAAAACCATGCAGTTGGAAGGAACATTCTGTTGTATTGTTTTCTCAAAGAACTTGAACAGCAAATAGAAAGTAGAAGAATAAAGAACTCCACTAAGAACATATAGAGAGATTCACACATTGGAATATGGCACACTACAACATATATTCCTTATGTGTACTACCACACCAGCATTCCTACATATAAGTAAAATGTTAGCATTATAATGAACATTGGAAATTATACAGTTTACACCTGCAATTCTTAAGGTGTTATATGCTAATGTGGAATACAGAGAATAGAATGGAATAAAGATAGCAAAGAGAGGCCGGTGATGTCAGAACTCTCAGGATGTGGATTTCTCATTCTAAGTGCCTAATCCTTGGGTCAGCTCTCTAGGGAAGGGATCTTAAAGGGTCTGGTGGGTAGAGGGCAGGAAGTTAGGTAACTAGGCTGGGCATGATGGCTCACGCCTGTAATCCCAGCACTTTGTGAGGCCAAGGCGGGTGGATCACGAGGTCAGGAGATTGAGACCATCCCGACCAACATGGTGAAACGCTGTCTCTAGCAAAAATACAAAAATTAGCTGGACATAGGGACATGCGCCTATAATCCCAGCTATGCGGGAGGCTGAGGCAGGAGAATCCCTTGAACCAGGAAGTCAGAGGTTGCAGTGAGCCAACAGATGGCGCCACTGCACTCCAGGCTGGTGAGAGAGCAAGATTCCATCTCAAAAAAAAAAAAAAAAAAAAAAAAGTTCAGTGACTAATGTAGGACTAATTAACATCAGGGGAGGGGACAAGCTTTCCCAAAAGATCTTGTAACATCTTCTAGAGAAAGGTTCTCCTTGTTGTAATAAGAAGAATAAATAGCAAGAAAGGGAATAAAAAGGAACAGAAAAAAAAAAATGCTAGCTATCATGAACCCCAAACAGATGATCTATGTTAGATGGAAACAAAAGGAGTTTCCTTCCCTATGTCAGAGGGAAACAAAAGGAGTTTGAGCCAGAGTGATACAGTCTGGGTAGTAAGATCAGTATCGAATTGATGGACTAAATCAGGGGCATCCAATCTTTTGGCTTCCCTGGGCCACATTGGAAGATATATTGTCTTGGGCCACACATAAAATACACCAACACTAACAATAGTTGGTGAGCTAAAAAAAAAAAATTCTCATAATGTTTTAAGAAAGTTTACAGATTTGTATTGGGCCACATTCAAAGCTGTTCTGGGCTCCATGTGGCTTGCAGGCTGCAGGTTGGACAAGCTTGGCCTAAATGAATGACAGAAGTGCAAGTGGTTTAGGAGGAAATAGGCAACCTTATAGATAAAAACAAAACAAAACAAAAAACAAAACAAAAAAAACCTCATAGGAAATAGTTTAGATATGAAGGATATCAGAGAGGAAACTAATGGCAGGAAACTAACAGGAGGAGCAAGAAGTCAAGAGACCTGAAAATTCTGCATTTGAAATGAGGTATTAGGGTCATTGTCATCCCAACCACAGGACACAGAAATGCTTTAGGTTGACTTCACTAATCCTTCAATTTTACAAATCAAGAAACTGAAATCCAGACAGGTCAAATGACATTTCTAAACAGTGACTTTTGGGCCACTTGCAGTGGCTCACCCCTGTAATCCCAGCACTTTGCGGGGCTGAGGTGGATGGATCACTTGAGGTCAAGAGCTCAAGATCAGCCTGGCCAACACGGTGAAACCCCACCTCCACTAAAAATACAAAAATTAGCCAGGCACAGTGGTGCGTGCCTGTAATCCCAGCTACTTGGGAGGCTGAGATGGGTGGATCACTTGAACCCAGGAGGCGGAGGTTGCAGTGAGCCAAGATCCCACACCACTGTACTCCAGCTTGGGAGATAGAACGACACTCCATCTCAAAGAAATAAAAAAATAAATAAATAAAATAAATAAACAAAAATAAATAAACAGTGACTTTCTTTTATTGTAGAGATGAGGTCTTGCGATGCTGACCAGGCTGGTCTCAAACTCCTGGCCTAAAACAGTCCTCCTGCCTCAGCCTCCCAAAGTGCTGGGATTACAGACATGAGTCACTACACCTGGCCCCAAAGTGACATTTTAATTAGTATTAGGGTTAGGTGTAGAGCTTCTGTATTTAACTCATAACCCAGCATTCCTTTGGTTTTATCACGAGCAAGTTAATATGGAAAAAGGAAATGGAAGAGAAAGAAGTAATACATTTTATTTCACCATAAGAATATAAAAAGCCAGAGCCATTTTTAGTAGGAGCTTAGGAACTGAGAAGTGGTATATACAGAGGTTGAGAGTATGTAGTGATGGAAGAGGAAGAGACCTTGCATGAAGAAAAGAAGGTCAGTTCAGATCAGACAAAAAAGAGGAGAAAGGACATACTATGCAGACCCACCTGGGAGAAAGAGAAAAGAGAAGTGTGGAGAAGACATTCAAAAGCATAATAACTCCAAGATGGCCAAATAGGAACAGCTCCGGTTTGTAGCTCCCAGCGTGGTCGATGCAGAAGACGGTGATTTCTGCATTTCCAACTGAGGTACGTGGTTCACCTCATTGGGACTGGTTGGACAGTGGGTGCAGCCCATGGAGAGTGAGCCAAAGCATGGTGGGGCATCGCCTCACCCGGGAAGCACAAGGGGTTGGGGGATTTCCCTTTCCTAGCCAAGGGAAGCCATGACAGACTGTACCTGGAAAATCGGGATACTCCCAACCAAATACTGTGCTTTTCCAATGGTCTTAGCAAATGGCACACCAGGAGATTATATCCTGCGCCTGGCTCGGTGGGTCCCATGCTCACGGAGCCTTGCTCACTTCTAGTGCAGCAGTCTGAGATTGACCCACAAGGCAGCAGCCTAGCAGGGGGAGGGGGCATCTGCCATTGCTGAGGCTTGAGTAGGTAAAAAAAGCAGCCGGGGAAGCTTGAACTGGGTGGAGCCCACCACAGCTCTGCAAGGCCTGCTGCCTCCATAGACCCCACCTCTGGGGTCAGGGCATAGTGGAACAAAAGGCAGCAAAAACTTCTGCAGACTTAAACGTCCCTGTCTGACAGCTCTGGAGACAGCAGTGGTTCTCCCAGCATGGTTTTTGAGCTCTGAGAAAGGACAGACTGCCTCCTCAAGTGGGTCCCTGAAGCCTGGGTAGCCTAACTGGGAGACATCTCTCAGTGGGGACTGACTGACACCTCATACAGGCAGGTGCCCCTCTGGGACGAAGCTTACAGAGGAAGGATCAGGCAGAATATTTGCTGTTCTGCAGCCTCCACTGGTAATACCTGGCAAACAGGGTCTAGAGTGGACTTCCAGCAAACTCCAACAGACCTGCAGCTGAGGGACCTGACTGTTAGAAGGAAAACTAACAGACAGAAAGAAATAGCATCAACATCAACAGAAAGTACATCCACACCAAAACCCCATCTGTAGGTCACCAGCATCAAAGACCAAAGGTAGATAAAACCACAAAGATGGGGAGAAACTAGAGCAGAAAAACTGAAAATTCTAAAAACCAGAGCACCTCTTCTCCTCCGAAGGATTGCAGCTCCTTGCCAACAATGGAACAAAGCTGGATGGAGAATGATTTTGATGAACTGACAGAAGTAGGTTTCAGAAGGTTGGTAATAATAAACTTCTCCAAGATAAAGGAGGATGTTTGAACCCATTACAAGGAAACTAAAAACCTTGGGAAAAGATTAGATGAATGGCTAACTAGAATAAACACTGTAGAGAAGACCTTAAATGACCTGATGGAGCTGAAAACCATGGCACGAGAACTACGTGATGCATGCACAAGCTTCAATAGCCGATTCAAACAAGTGGAAGAAAGGGTATCAGTGATTGGACATCAAATGAATGAAATAAAGCAAGAAGAGAAGTTTAGAGAAAAAAGAGTAAAAAGAAATGAACAAAGCCTCCAAGAATATAGGACTATGTAAAAACACCAAATCTACATTTGATTGGTATACCTGAAAGTGATAGGGAGAATGGAACCAAGTTGGAAAACACTCTTCAAGATATTATCCAGGACAACTTTCCCAACCTAGCGAGGAAGACTAATATTCAAATTCAGGAAATACAGAGAACACCACAAAGATACTCCTTAGGAAGAACAACCCTGAGACACATAATTGTCAGATTCACCAAAGTTGAAATGAAGGAAAAAATGTTAAGGGCAGCCAGAGAGAAATGTCAGGTTACCCACAAAGGCAAGCTCATCAGACTAACAGCAGATCTCTTGGCCAGAAGAGAGTAGGGGCCAATATTAAACATTCTTAAAGAAAAGAATTTTCAGCCCAGAATTTCATATCCAGCCAAACTAAGCTTCATAACTAAAGGAGAAATAAAATCCTTTACAGACAAGCAAATGCTGAGAGATTTTGTCACTACCAGGCCTGCCTTAC